GGCTGGAAGACAAGCTGCAGCAAGTCAGACAGAGCCCGCCTCATTTCCTGGCTGGAAGACAACCTGCAGCAAGTCAGACAGATCCCGCCTCATTTCCTGGCTGGAAGACAACCTGCAGCAAGTCAGACAGATCCCGCCTCATTTCCTGGCTGGAAGACATTCAGCATCGTCTAGAGCTTTTAACAGGAAGTTCCAGGAAGTCGAGCTGAGAGAGTTGGAGCTGTCCAGAAACATGATGACTGGAAGTGCTTGGGCAAAAAATGTAAAGAAATACTTTGCTGGGCGATTGTATATTTGTTGGATCTGGATTCATTATTGGGGGAGGACCGCTGACCTCAAGACCATCCGGATCGGAGAAAATAAGAAATGTGACAATGTCTCCTGGACGGTAAGAAACACAATCTAAACTGAGGGACGAGGGGGGTGGGAGGAGGGGGGTGGGAGGGGTTTTTAAACCTCTTGTTAATTGTGTTTCCTGTAGATGGGAGAACCAATCATCTCTCAGGTTGCTGTCCCGGAAGACGATTGGGGAAATACTACTTTTGGGGCCATACGACGGGCCGATTTAGTGATAAGGAGGAATGTTCATTCGATTGATTTTGACCCCTTTCATTTATAAAACAATGATTGGTCTGAATGGAAAGGTACTAGTCCTTTACACCAGTGACCCCCAAGGATCATGGGACGAAAACTCGACTAACCTCATTAGGTAGATGAAAGTAGTCACCCGCACTCCATAATATTAAAGTCAATGCTGTTTATTGCTAGCTATTCGAGTATAAGCCGAGGGGGGGCACTTTTCAGCCAAAAAAATGGGCTGAAAATCTCGGCTTATACTCGAGTATATACGGTATCTACATTTCACGGAGGCATCCGTTGTCACCACCGCACCCACCCAGTTGCATTTGGGTTTTTGCCCGGTCAGGAGTGCGATGGGACAGGAGGATTCATCTCATTAGGTGACTGAACAGGGAAAATTCGGAATCGGCTAGAACACCTCCTACGAGGGTTGTGAGATGACTCCTAAGACCTGAAGTCAATGTGACTGAAGGGGTAGGGTGCACGGGAATCACCCCTTCAAGGGTAGGCAGGACACGAGAGTTAGACATTTGCCCCGGACCGGTGAGATGGGAGCAGCCAACTAAATGGGGGGGATGAAACTAATAAATCTTGTAAGAGGTGCCCCCAGGATATTCCAGAGGGTTCCTGCTGAAGAATCACCGTGCCCATCCCTGACCATCAGCTATAGGTCTAGGAAAACTCCTGATCTCCCAGATCCAGCAAAGCGCCAACAGCCACAGAACAAGGACAGGAGTCTCAGCAATAAAGCTAAGAGCATTCACCTGACTGAGGGCAGAGGGAAGGAAGCCATTCTGAAGGACCTTCCTCAGTAGGCTATCGATCAGCCAAAAAAAGGGGGGACCTAATCCCAGGTAGACAGATCCCCAAAAGTCATCCAGTGTAATGACTCGCTGCCTGGCTTCCTGATACCGGAAGCTCAAGTATCGGGCTAGGCATTGGAGCATTTGGGCGTGTACAATCCCTAGTGAAGAGGTGGAACCCCCGTCGGGTTGTTATAGCCCATTAGGGAGACTCAATCTATTTGGACTAAAAGTCATTAAAAATCCAAAAGTCGCCCCATTACTTCAACACCTCCCCCCCCCCCACCCATGTTTCCTGGGCTTCGCGGCCCCTCCTGCAGGCCCAGAAAGGCCATGGCGCGTGTTGGCAGACCAGTCAACATCCAGTGGTTTGCTCACAGTGAAATCAGAGGAAGCAATTTCAGTCCAGGAGAGGACCTGGTACAAGACTGAGGCTCTGTTCGCACCTTGTTTTAAGCCCATTTCGTGTGCACCTTGCTGTATAACTGGTAACGAATTGTTGAGTGCGTTTGTCGTTTGTTTTGCTTGACCGATTTGGTGCAGTGACGCATGGGGGTTCTCAGCTGCCATTGGGATGTGCGGGATCCCTTGTGCGTCTGTGCCTTTAAGGAGGTCGGGCTTCCTCCTGACAAACCTGCACCCAATTTGAAATCTTCTGCCCCCATGTGCTCCAAGATGGAGACTTGGTTTAGAGTTAGGACCGCACTATAAGGCCCCGTTCACATTGAGCGATTTATCGCGCGATTTTTGTAGCGATATCGCTCATATTTCCGCACTATATCGCTCTATGTAGCTTCACCAATACAATTCAATGTAGCTGTTCACATCTCGTCGCTCAATGTCGCTCAATATCGCTCAATATCGCTTGTAGCTCGTCGCTGGTAGCTTGTCGCTTCTACATGACCCTTTTTTAGAGCGATTTTGAGCGATATTGCTCCTGATTGCATACAGCCCAATAGGAAGATGTCGCGCGACACGTCGCTCAACGTCGCGCGATTTGCATGTCGCTCAGTGTGAATGGGGTCTGAGAGGTGCCTTGGCGCGGCTTTCACATTTTCTGCAGAAGACGTGTATCCAAACCTCTGTTATTGACCTTTGTGGTGAGACAAGTTTTTTTACATGCTGACTTGTGAGTGTGCCATGATGCCTTTCTACTGTCCTCTGTTCACACCCAGGCGTATCGAATATGCGCGTGTGAAGCGCATTTTTACCGCGATTCGTGGTAAAAAAACGCGCGACAAACACGCGTTTCCGAGGGCTACTTGGCTGTATCCCAATGGAAACGCGCGACAAAAACGCAGCAAGGAAGCTCGTGTACCTTTTCAGAACCATACCCATAGAAAACAATGGGATTTTCATGTTTGAGCGTTTTGTAGAGCGTTCGCTCAGCGTTGAAAGCGCTACAAAACGTACATGTGTGAACCAGGCAAAGGGAGGGCCGGAGGTCAGCTTTAAGATTAGGGGGGACTGAGATCCCCCTAAAAAAGATTTAAGTTCAAAGGGAATCTTCAGGTCACTGGCTCCTGGAAACATTGACAGACTCATCATTGTTTAAACAAAGCTTCTTACAGCTCGTGGCTCTGTTCCTTTCAGGGCCTGGCGTACGAGAATCCTCAAGGACCAAACTCCAGGACCACTCCTTTGATTTAGGGGTAAGATACAGATTTCCTGGCCCACCAAACAATGGGACATTTATTTCTGCCATTAGGCATAACGCCTTTGATTCAAAAAACATCCATTATTTCTGAAACAGCTGTGGAAAAGTAATCAGG